TTTTCTACACTACATGTTCACATGAAACACACCTAGTATTCAGTCAGTAAAGCTTTTATTATTTATGACAGATTTGATTAAAAACGTCGTAAATAAGTATTTCCATATCAAAACATACAGTTCGATAGATAGGATTTTTGGTGTTAAATATAGTAAAGACTCGACATTACGTGATTTATAATTTTATGATAACGTGGAGGAGTAAACATGTGGTATACTATATAATGTTACGATTACCATAAACACAAAACTAACGCGTTTAGAAATTAATATGAAGATAATATTATTATCAGATATTAAAAGTCTCAAGAAGCATGTTTACAGTCTCAGAATTAAATATATATATATATATATAGTTCTTGATAACACAGACCTGCGAATTTAAACTGCATAAAAGCTGTTTTGGTTTTAATAACGGATTTTCCACAATTCAGCCATGCAGGTTTCGAAAATATTATTCTTTTTTTCTATCACGTAAAGATTTTTTACAAATCGGGGAGAAAAAAAATCTTACTTAGATCAAATTATTATTTCGTTCACCACAATGAACATTTTTTACCATTATGTTTATGAACAGAAATACAAACAGACTAAAGAAAAGGGAAGAACATTGATGTCAAACGAGTATACATCCTCATTCATTCTGATTTTGTGTGTGTGAAATCTACGTCTTTTAGTCTGAAAACTACCTGTTGTGGTCTTTCTTTTATGTATTGCGTTATAACATTTTATGAAAAATCTGTACGTGATGGAGAATAAGGATATCATTTTCCGATTTAGCCTACAGAAATTACTGTAGAACATGTAAAAATTTCAAGACAATAAAAACATCGTAGGCCTGTGTAATTAAGATGTGGGTGAGTCTACCTTATCGCTGTAGGTTTACAAGTAGACGGCGTGGTAAACGATATTTAAACTATAAAAAAAAGACGTTTAAAGAAACGTAGAAATATTTTATAAATCTTATAAGAACCGGCAAAAATAAAAATTGCTTAAATTTTATTTATTGTTTAAATAATCACGTGAAATTGTCTTTTTTATCTGAAGCGTTATTGCTGATATTTCGACGTATTTAGTTCTTAGTGTGAAATGGGTTAGGCATGTGCTACATTGTGCTGTTATTCTCCAAATGTTTTGGAAAATTACATCTAGAAATGTTTAATAGCACAACACTGTTCTGTAAAGTTACAGTCTCTCTTGTTAATTGCAGTAAAAATATCTGAAAATAACACCCATAACACACTCTCTAGTAATGCTAAATATTTTCTGATAAATTACATAGGACTTTCAAGGTAGCGCATGGCCTTGTAATGTTATAGATTTTATAGTAAATAATACTATACTAGCAGAGACCCGCAAAACACATTTGCAATCGAGTTAGTATCTTTATTGCATTAGTACTTCTTTAAATATAGGATTTATAGAATAATACAAGAGAATTTTATTCGCATACTCCGAAATCTATAAGTCCACTTGTCTTAGGCCTAACATTTGTTAAGCCTTTATTGAGTACGACCTATATTCGATAAAGAGATAAATTAACACTGCAACTTTTGTACGTATTTTTTACTTTAGTTTAGTTAGGGCTAAACTTTACCGTACTTAATACTATCAATAAATAAACTTATACTGTTATTCTCCGACCTAACGTTAGACCTTTTTAAAAACTTTGATAAGCTATTAATATGTTGTTGTTGAAAATGTCCACTAAAGTATATTTACATCCGCCTTTTCTTTACATCCATTGGAATGAAGTGCGCGCACGTGCGCCCTTAGATAGTAAGGTGCGCGCGCATTTTCAGACACAAACTGAGTATTATTAGAACAGATATGTCTTGGGATAAACACTGTCCAATAACGTTATAGATTTTATGATAAAATACATGTAGGAATGTGTAACGGTAGCATACGTCCTGAGATGCTATAAAGTTTATGGTAAATAACGGTAGAAATGGCAGAGGGTAGAACCTTATTTTCCAATATTCTTGATTTTCTGGTAAAGGTAAGAAGGAATGACCAAGGGTAGCACACCGTCCTATGATGCTTTACATTTTATGGTAACTATTAATGGAGATGTTAAGAATAGCAGACCGTCCTATAATTATATACATTTTATGGTAACTATTAATGGAGATGTTAAGAATAGCACACCGTCCTATAATTCTATACATTTTATGGTAACTATTAATGGGGATGTTAAGAATAGCACACCGTCCTATAATGCTATACATTTTATGGTAACTATTGTTACGACAGCGGAAGTCACGTGACTCTAGTAACACGTCATGAGATTTTAGAAGGATCTTGTCTATTCGTGGCAACTCTAGTCTTCTCTACGCGCCTCTATTCTTGTATATAAGTGCGCCAGATAAAGCGAAATTAATTAATCGGAACTGTATAGCAGACAGAGAGATTGAAGATATAGATGGACAATTGAGTCAAGCCCGGTAGTAAGTAAAGGGCGTGAATCGTTTGTTGTAAATTATAGCGTGTGTTTAAGTTAAGGTGACTTTATTCTTTCTCAATTCAACTTTGCAATACACTTAATTTCCACACTAGTTTTATTTGAGAAATGACTTGTATCGCTGAAGTTCTTTGGAAAGAATTTTTACGATTAATTAACAAACGACCAGAGACGTAACAATATGTTTGTTTGCGTGTGTGTGTGTGTGTGTGTGTATGTGTATACCCTAGTATTATATCACTCATGAACTTTTAAACCCATTGATATTGTTTTTACCATACTAGATATATCGGCAGTGAGGAATAAATATGAAATATTTAAAGGTTAGGTCAAAAGTTGTTCTAAATTTTAGTGTTTTCTTCCCTTGTTTCACTTTATATGTTTCTGAAATCAATACAGGCCTGATTATGTCCAAATGATTCCCAACAACTGCCTTCTGAATTTTTGGATATGGCAAGGTCAAAGGGCAGAGTTAGTCCAGATGTCTGTTAACTTTCGTATTTCATTCTGTTGCTGTTCCTTTGCGTTATAACTATACCGATCTTCTTCTAACAGTCTCTGGTGGCTCAGCTGTAAGTCTGAAGGCTTTTTACACTAAAAATCGTGTTTCGATACCTGCTGTAGTCAGGGCATAGATATACCATTGTGAAGTAGCTTTGTGCTTGGCAACAAATAAAACAAACTTTTTCTTTCCAATTTTAGCAACTTAAATATATTTTTAAGTTCCACTACTTAATAAAAATATTAGCAAATTGAGATCATTGTGAGTACGTTAGAGCTTGATCGAATGAACTTAGAACTTAAAAAAAGGTTCCATTTTATTCAATGACGACATTCTCTTTCATCTATGATGACGACGAATCCACTTTGAGACTAATAATGGTTGGAGACGGCTTGAATGGGTAATGAAGAAAGACTTTAATATAAGTTTAACATAACAGCAAATGTACAACGTTTCAACAAGGTTTTTTGTAACCGATGATGATAAAACTTATAGAAACGTTGTGCATTTGCTGTTTTGTTAAACTTTTCTTCATTAACCATTCAAGCCGTCTCCAACCATTGTTATTCTCTTTTGGGATATTTTTTGTAAAGATTAGAATAATACTTACTTGTGAACACTCTTAAACTATACATTATTATGTTAAAATGAACAGTAAAGTATTCTTCTATTCTTTACACTTAACTTCTCCCGAGCACCAAAGCATGCGATATTTTCTGTAACTTCACCATTTATCATCAAATGTCAGCACGACATCTGCTGACGATTTTAGTTTTACCATTGTTTTCTATAGACACGTAAGAGAGTGCTTATTCACATTTGCTATTTTATAGAGTTGTTTGTAGAAGCTTGGATTTCCCCAGGTGAGTGAGCGGTAAGTTCACGTGTTCACGAACGTACAACGCTAAAATTCGGGGTTCAATTCCTCGCAGTGGACGGATCACAGATAGTTCGTTGTGTAGCTTTGCACAAAAAATGAAGCTTAGACTTACTGATTATTATTAGTGAAACTCTTCATTGAAACTATCATGTAAAGGTATGTTACTTAAGCTATAAAAAAACAACAGAATTATTTTACAACATGTGAAGGGAGATATCTAGCACAGTAAATACATTAAAACAGCTTTTGTAGTTTTATATTAATTAACCCTAACTCAAGCGCACAGAAGTAAGTACCAAAAACTTACTTAAACCACTATACACTACCGGTTGTGACCAAGTATTTACTCTACTGGGCTGCAGTTCAAAAGGTCAAAGCTAGAGCCGTAATATGCCTATGAATATGCTTCGCCTTTGCAGCTGTGAGTTGAGGACTTTCTGGTTGTGACGGTCAATTCCGCTATTCAATTAAAAGCAGCAGTGGAGGCAGTGAGTGATGCTGACTGGTTGTTTGTCCTCTGGTCAGCAATTGTTCTAAATTAAGGATAGCTATGCCTCATATTTGTATTTTCCTAGAAGGTTAACCTGTGTGTCGTTTAAACGTGTCATTCAGGTTGAAAATACGAAATATACCAATACTTAGTTTTAAAAGCTTGTTTGGCAAGTATTTTTCTTATCTAGTTCAAAACGTCTGAACAAAAAACTGGTTATCTCGTTTGATTTAAATACAAAACTTTTTGAACTTAAAGATACCAATTGAGATTTAAAACAACTGTAGCAAAACAATAGTAATATTTGTATACAACTAATTGCGTCAGTCTGAACTAAAATTAATCATCACGTGATTCTGTAGAGTTTACTGATGATTATAATGCACCATTTCTTTGTACGTTTAACGACAATAAAAACCAAAACGAAACAACTAAAAAATTACCATCTATTATCAATAATTGTCTGAGAGTTTGAGTTCAAAATCTTACGTTATTGTTTCAGCAGGAATAATAGGCGTATTATTTAAATCTACCTAAAAAACTATGATGTAAACATTAATAGCTGGGTAGTGGTATACAGCCCAGTTTGACGCTGGTTAGGTCTTGGGACGTCCCGGGCTTTCCAATCCAGTTGAGTCAGATGACGCCAGTTATGGAGCTCGTAAGTTGCGATGTGAGACACGAGAAACGTGCCATTGTTGTCGAACTGCAGCAAGCGCTATTGTAGTCGTGCATGTTCAACGTAACCATAAAATGGAGTGTGTAAAGAACAGCATAGCCCTTACTATATTTTACTGAATAAATACAAACTTCTTTATTGCCCCTTGAGCTTGCTGTTACTGATCTTAGTCAGAGCTTAATTTCTTTTGAATTAAAGTATTTGCGTATTCAGGAATTATACAAAACCAATACTCACTGAAATCAAGAGATCTGGAAGTTAACAAAGAGGTAAGGTTTATCGTTTACAAAATTTTCTTTGTTTTTCTTGGTTGAATCTTGTCTTGGGTTTTCGTGTTTTTGTTGAGTAAATAAAAACGTTTCCTGTATTATTATTATGATGATGATAACAGCAAATGTATCAGTTTCTACGTTTAAAAAATAAAAGCTCTTTCACTCTTTGTAAGAGAGAAACATTGAGCAGGACTTAAATATACAATAGAAGAACGTTTTTCTTCTTTTTTTCTCTGTACTGAAATGAGTGATATAAATAGATCACCAATTTCACACAGATAAAACTAAAATAGATTAAAGTTATTTTTTGCAATAATTTGTTTTTCTTTAGAATCCTTAAAAGTTGTACGACAAGTTACTTACATATTTAGGCAAGATAGACGACGTTTCGGTTTAAATGTATACTCATTCGACTTGATGAAAAGTAACCCGAAATGTCGTCCGTTTTTCTAAGTATGTTGAGTCTCTTTTCACTAATAAGTGTTGCTGATTTTATTTTATTTTATAACTTTCATACAGCATCTTTTACAGAAACATCCTGAACTATCGAATTATTCTATAGCTGTACTGATTATTGAGAATAGATAAAATTATGTCAATACATTAGTCCACCCAACACGATCTAAGCAGACTTCCCGATCTAATATTAACAACTGAATTTTTGTACGTTTTCTGAATACAATCTTTGCTTTGTTTGAACACAGGGGAACAAAACTAGTGCTATAGATAATAAAAAACATGAGACGAGTAATGTAGAAGCATACTGGGTCTAGACTCTAGAGGTTATCAGGAAAAATCTCAATGACCGGTCCCATCTGCCAGAAATGAGGTCAACAATAGTCTACATTTGTAAAAAGACAAATTAAAAATTATCACTGGAACGAAACATTGTTAATCCAACCCACTTTTTTCCTGTGTGGCCCGAAATGGTGAGAGTTGCATAGATAATGTATACATTATCTTTAGAGGACTGATCACTTAAAAACGTCTCAGTAACAAAGGTGCTGTCTCACTCTGGCCGATTGCAAAGAAATAGCTTAGATTTCTTTGGGCACTGATTTTGGGCATAGTAAAACAAGGAAAAAACGTTTTTGTCAACATCTTCAGATAAAATAACATACTCGCAATACGATTCGTATTACAAAGTAATCCGAAACTGGGTAAATAAAATTAACAGCAAACCTACGTGAACTTAGGGCGTAGTATTGTGACACATAGATGCACAGAAGGTTTCCCGGTTTAACGCCCTTTGTTCTTTAATCCAGGCCAATTTGTACGAACCATTTATAGATCTGCGTAGCAAATCACCAGCACGGATGGAAAAATTTGATAAGATTATTTAAAATTTTGAGTATTTCCCTTAATATATATATATAAATATAACTTCAGTTGAAATGATAACTTATTCTAGAGAAATGGATGGTTGAGTTTAAGTGGCAACTTGTTCTAGAGAAACAGATGGTTAGGTTAAAGTGGTAACTTATTCTACAAAAATCAATGTTTAGGTTTAATTGAAAACTTTAAGAAGGATAAGAAAGTGGGTTAAAAAATTGGGTCATTTTGACGGTAGGCTCATGCTGACCATTTTCTTGTTTTCTTTGTATGGTGATTTAAATAAACTCGTTTGACAAGTGTAACTCTCTGCCTGTTATCTCACTCATAAACGCCCAACCCAGTTGATACAATGCACTGTAGAATATCAAGATGAAACTGAGATTAAATGCTTTTTAACATTCCACGCTGTTTCCACATTATATATGTATGTGTAAAGCCTAAAAGTATTGATAAGTTTATTGATTTCTTGCTACATTTAGAACTCGATCAACAATGGAAAAACTAAAAAAGATAAAAAAGTAGACCAATTCACGTTACAGATCCATTGAAAAAATTCAAGACTTTGTTTTGTGATCAAGTACGAGCGTTCACCCTTATATTTTCTCCTAGAGACTCAGCAGAAAGTCTGAAGGGTTCTAAAGCTAAAAAATGGGTTTCGATACCTGTATTGGGCTCAACACAGACAGCCCATTGTATAAATTTGCGCTTAAAAACAAAACAAAAAATATTTTTACTTTCAAACAACAAAACATTATATGTGTATATTTTATAAATCCAGAGGTCATTCGTTTTGATTACCCTACTCTTTGCTTCACAGAGACTTTACAGCCATAACACAGTATATTTTACTGGGGTTAAACCTCTCTCACTTTAGGCAATAGAATTTCCTACTGTGTCATGGATTAGCTTTTCGGTTTAGATATTTGTGTAAGTACTATCGCAGGCCAGATTCAGTTGAGTAGCTGTGGCTGGAATCAGAGATTATTTGTTTAGATGTTAGTGTAACTACTATATAACACTATAATTTTTTGATTACCACACATTTAATTACTAAATTTAACGTATCAGTTAACTCAGTTTCAGACCTTTCGAAATTGTAATACGTAACAATACTGGCACAGTAAATATTGTAGCTTCTTCTGCTGATGTTCATTGATGTTGACGTCTTTGTATGTTTCATCTCAACTCGGTGGTCTTAGGTCTTCATCTTCTATGACAAAGTCACTATCTTCTGGTCAGTGTTTATGAGAGCTACACCTGCCATGTCCACCTGTGACTCAACAGCTGCCCACTTTCACTTTATAGTCTATTCTTATAGTTAACCACTTCCTGCACTTTAAAAGGTCCTTTCCATTGTAGGGTGAGTTTGTTGTTGTCTGTAGGTAGCAGAAATAAGACCTTCTGTCCAACCCTGAAACGTTGATCCTTGGCCTTCTTGTCATAGAAGTACTTCTGACTGTCTTTGATGTGTTTGGTTTCCCCAGTAGAACTGCTTTGATAAATCTGATACAATACTCCTTTAAAGTTCCCTGTTTTGTAAATCTCTTTCCCCTTTGTCTTGTGCGTGACTTTTTTCCGGGCACTGTTCCAAAGTTTTTGCAGTGTATGCTCTTTCTTCTGCACTTCTTTCAATTCCTGTAGACCAGCATTCAGGATGTCATCTTTCGAGACTTGCAGGAGGCTTGATGTCTTACATGCTTTTCTTGAGCTATTGTGGTGACTGCAGATGCTTCATCAGTCCCCTTTCTGTCTGGTGTTTCTAAACTTCTACTGCCTGGTATATTGCCAACCACCAAGTCGTACATGGATGCCTTCATACACATAGCCTCAAGGTCCCCCATTAATATGGAGCCTCCACCTTTATTCTTGTTATGGGAAGCTTTCTTACTATCCCATCAATCAGCACTTGCACAAACATGCTTTGCTCATTATCTGATCATCAGGTACTAGACTGGTTCTCACTGCTGTACCCAGTCTCTTGTAGGACCTTCACTTTTTGACACTGATGTAGCCTTCACCTACTGGCATGTTGTGATTTGTTGGCACCTCTTGATGTTTGTCACATGTTCCAATCACTACTGGCACTGGTGATCTATTTGCTAACTTGAGCTTACCATCAGTTGTGCACTATTTGATCATGGAAGTAGCACTTCCTTCTTTTGGTGAATCTGATGGGTTGTTTCTATTCTGTTTCATCTGGCAGCAGCATCTAAGGCAGTGGTTCTTAACCTTTCTTGCTCAATGCCCCACCTCGACACCTCAAAAAAGTTGATGCCACTTAATATAAAAACAAATTTGGTGTTGAAAAGGTATAATAGTATAATGTAAGATTTAGAAATTTAGTTTTGAGTCATGGAACGTTTTTCGCTCTTCACACCCAAATGAAAATTTTTTCTTATTGTATTATTTTTAAATTGCCCCAATATATTCAAATTGTTCCCTGTGATAGTTACTCTTTTCTTGTTTCTTACCAGCACCATCTTTGTAAGGTAGCTCCAGCTGCTTTATGTTGAAATTTCTATTGTTACTTGTTGGTGATAGATTTGTACTCAATCGTAATGTTCCCCATAGCATCCCTTCTCTCTTTTGGCTGTTGAGTTTTTGTCACCTTTAGTGGTATCCCTTTTCTGGGCAGCCATCCCTGGTTTCATTTTTAACTGGTTATTCTTGGACTTGTTAGTTATACTTCCTCCATGGGCTTCCAGATACTGTTCTGCTAGCACATGATCATGAAGTGCTCACGTATTAGTAGATATGCCAGTCCCTCAAAGCTATTTTCCCACTTGGCCTAGCCAATACATCTTGGAAAGTGTCTCCATAGACGTTCCACAAACTGAAATACTGTTTCTCCAGTGTCCGGTTTGACTTCTCTGAATGTCTGACAAAAACTTCCTTGGTAATTTCATAACATTTCACCAAGGCCACTTTTAACTTTTATAGCCCATGCCATCTTCTGATGTCATGCTTGCATACACTTGTAGGCCTTTTCCTGTGAGAAGTGGACTGAGACAGATTGCCCAGTTGCCTTTGTCTAAGTTCTGAGTTTGGATGAATCTTTCATATCTCTGCAGGAAAGCATCCATGTCATCTTTCTGTTCATCAAATTTAGGCAGCTTTGGTCAGCTGGCCCTGATTCCATTGTCATTCTTGGGTCCTTCGGCTTTCTGTTGAGTGAGCTATGCAATCTCAATTTGTGCTCTCATTCCCCATTTGTGCTCTTTCTCTCTCTCTTTATTTCCTTTTTTTCTCAACTTGTGCTCTTGTTCTCTATCTCTGTATTTCTAGTCTTTCCTTTCCTTCATTTTCTTCTTTTGATCTTTCCTTTTTTTTCTTAGTGTTTCTTCCTCTCTTTTCTGTGTCTTCTCCTCTCTCGTCTGTTGTCACTCTTCCCTCTCTAGTTCTTGTTGTTTTTAACAAACTCTAGTAGATCACTATCTTTTAGCCCAAGTTGCTCACCTCTCTCTATCCATTTATCAAAATTAGACGACATGATTATGTAGTGTGATTGTAATATCTACACTATTTTCGCCAACACTACAGTTATGTGTACATAGGACTATTTCTGCTCTTGTTCACATTTTCTTCTACCGCCATTTACCACTGTATAATCCTCAATTGTTATCTCAATTGTATCCATAGCTTTAAATGATTGTCTCTCTTTT